ATATTCAGTTTTATATACTATATATAATATTTTAATATCAGCAGTTTCTGAATACTCAGACCAGCCCGTCTGCCACTAACAACCATGCCACCTTCAAAGTCAACTAAATCACTTATCTTCCCCCATTCTGATCGTCTTTAACGTGTCTACATGCCTAAATGCATTGAGTTGCGATATTTGTGTTAAATAACAGAAGTAAATTAAAAAAAGTGGCAGTTGAGTGTGTGTGTGTGTGTATATATATATATATATATAAATATATATGGTGATATAGTGGGATGGTAGAATGGGAGTGAAATGGGAGAAATATGATGGCACCAGTCGGAAGTCCTGCCTTTCCAATAAAAGATTTAATTGTCGTTCAGCAAGTCACCACTTGTCATCAACCATTAAGTCATCAACCACCTTTACAACGGTTATTGCTGTTGGCAAGCAGTTTTGAAATTTCAGTATTTCTCCATTCAATTAAATAGGAGCTGTACTTGCATGACTGAAAACAGCTGAAAATAATGATGCAAGGACATTCCCAAGATGGCTACCTTGTGTTTTCAGGACAAAAGTATTTTTCATGTCAGGTCAGGGCAAATTGTGACATTTTAACTGGGGCAAGTTGCCATGTGTTTTAAATGTGGTAATTTTACACAGTTTATTAATCATATTTGTTGATCAAAATGATTTTTTTGTACATTACTCTTTACTTGTTTCATGTATCATTTTACACTTTATAATTAACTTACTGTTTCAATTTGGATGTAGAGCTTATAATTCATTGTTTAATGTCGAGTTCCATTGTAACAACTTACCCCCTCAGTAGTTTCTGAAGCCAAGACTTTAAGGTTGTATACAGAAATTAACTTTCAAAAACCCAGTGAAAACACTGTAATAAAAAGTATTTTTATGGAAATCAGAAGATACTGTTCTTACGTACATGGTATAATAGAAACTCTCACAATGAGGAATAATTCTATGAGACAAACTTTAAATCACAAAAGACTTGGGAAACAGGTACGACGCAGGAGAAAACCACAGTACTACAAATGAGAGACTAAGGGAGAAATGAAGGCTTCAGTACACAGAGCAAACAAAGGAACTAATCAGTAACATAACATAACATAACAAGGCACAGGTGAATATAATGATGAATAAGATAACTCAGGAAACCTAGGTCACAGAGAAAGCTATGATAAACGAAGGGCAAAACACGACAGAATCAAGGAAATAGAGAACACATGTTACAGTACGCCCCCTCCTGAAACGGTGAGACCTTGTGCCAT